ACGTTGCACGTACCGGTAATGAAGTTTTGAAAGTTTAGAGAAATTTTAGAGAAACTAAGGGAGAAAGAGAATCGAGGAGGGTCAGGATAATAAATCATATTTCGAGTTGGAATTGGATGAAATTGTGTTACCCGCCCTAATAACATCTCCCCGATTCTTTTCTTCAATTATTTATTGATGACATTATTATTATAATATTATACACACACAATTATTTGCAGACACTAGCCTAGGTTTTTCCTTTTTTTTCCTCTTTCAATTACTGGCAGCTGTTGTCATCGTAAAATATTTCCATTAATCATACTACTGATCTCCTAGCACGTGTAGCATAAAGTTTAGTGCAGTAATACATGTAAATAGAATAACAACACCTCCTACAGCATAGATAGCAGAAGGGTCATTGGTTGCGTCATCAGGACTCAGGTGGTCAGACAGCGTGTCATGTCCAGTTAGTGGTCGTTGCATTGCACGGCAGTAGGACTGATGATTTTTACCGAGATGACCGTGTGCTTTAGTTAAATATCACGATTATGGATTTGCAAATCTCAAAAGGTCATATCCCTTTCAGTGTGACACGTCACTTTATAAGCTGTCGCAAATTCGTTAATGTTGCAGCGGTAAACGGCGAATTAATAATCAATAATATGCTATGTTTTATGTACTTTTTTATCAATTGTCAAAAATAATGAAAATAATATTAATATTTCGTGTCCAGAATCGGGTAGGGCGTGGTTAGCAGATTGGTACCAATTAGTGATAACATTTAAAATTATTAAATCAGTACGGAAATATCATTTTAATGAATAACAAATATTTACCCTCAAAACCAATATTTATTGACTTTTGTAAATGAACTGTTTTTGTCTATATTAAAATAAAAATATGGTGTTATTATAAGGATGTCGATTTTCGTTGCAAGAATGCTACGTTAATAAATTTAATTATTTTAATATTAGGTTTTAAGTTAATTATCAAACAATTAATTTGCTTTTCTCAGTAAAATAATTTTAGTAACGGATTTTACTTCAGCGTTTTTGGAAGGACTTATTGCGTATCAACTTTCGTGTTACTTCCTGGTCAAAGTGAAATTTGATTTTCATACAAAGTGTACATTCAGACCGAGTTCGGAGACGATATTTTTCATCAAAAACAAAACGACTTCCGAACAAAATTGTGTCCGGCCAATATATTGTATATCACAGTGTGAATAAAACAACAGTCAATGTTATTCTAGACACATTGGCATATTATTATAGTAAAAACCAACTCGGTTTATCGATTGGCATTTGGGTAGCTTTATTACACAACTCTTTGACTGCCACCGAAATTGGCTTCCCCGTTTAAATGGAGAGGAGGTCGACTACGATAATAATATTATCATGATAAGAATCTGGTGGTGACCGCGTCGAAATTGGACGCAGCAGCTGCAATGTACCGCTATCGTGGTATCTTATTAAATAAATTGATTTGCTAATGTCTGGACATTTAGGCAGCGATGAATTTTAGTATTCCTACCGTTTAAAGATAAAACAAAACGGAGTAATTTCTAGGAAATGAAATTTAGCGTGTGAACGTGTTTAATTGCGACGAGAATTAAAAATAATTACGTCTAAGAAATATATGAATTTATAAATTTAAAAGCGCTTTGAAGGGTCTCAAATTTGTACAACTTTGTCATATTTTTCGATTTGAAAGGGATAATTCACCTAATCCTGCCAAAAATATAACCTCGGTAACAATAGATTACTAAGTTTTCAAGTCAATTAATAAAAATATGTACATTATATATTGAGATTAACCTAATAAAACGCATATATGCCTATAATTCCTAGCCTCAGAAACAATGAATAAACATAGTTAATGTTTTTGAAAAGTAAAAAATAATTTAGCTCATAGAGGACATTTGAAAATACTCGTTGTAAGTGTAGATAAAATATTGAAATTCAATAGTTATGTATAAAATAAATAAATAAAATGCGGTTTGGAAGTGCAAACAAAGCTGGCTGGTTTTTCTTTAAAGCAAAACGCATTAAGGACAGACGTGTAGTGTACATAGTAATAATAATATATTATCGTTACTATACAGTGGGCGTGCGAGTGTAACTGCGTTATGTCAGAATATAGTCTACAACTGCACTCGACGCATAACGACTACATTTTGAATGTGTGTGCGGTTATGGCTAAAAAATGTATGTATACACACATAACTGTTAACGTGTATCTGTTCACGCAACGTTACTATAAGAGCCTCTGGAAGTGGTACCCCGGTCTAAGAAAATATTATCCAGAAAGGAAAAACTAATAATTTCTCTGGGAGGTACTTTTTTATTCTTGTAAATGTACAAATGGTATATGGTGTACAACTCGACGTGCGGAGCTAATAAATTTCTAGTATAAAACCTTTAAAAACAAGAAGGGAAAAACGTTTCGATGCAAATAAACAAATTACATATGAATCCCTAAGAAAACTGTCAATGGAATATCTCCTCAAGAGACTTGTAACTCCCTTTTAAACTGACAGCTATCATTTTTTCTCCAAGTTTTGATATCGGAACAAGTATTTCGCCGTTATTCTCTTTTCATTTTACTGTTAACGCTGATTTTTGGATTAAATATTAAAACAGGTTCCCATCAGCAAAGATACCGCGTCACTATTTTCGATTAACGGCTACTTTATGTAATAGCTATTTAGAATGTTATTAATATGTTCGCATTGCTGCCAAGTTTTCATGTGATATACAGGAAATATTTTGATGTACAACGAAAGTCGTACACACATAGCATAACGTATATAGCAATAATGTGTTTGTCGTTAAGAAAGACGGGGCTTGAAGAAATACCCAAAAGATAATCTGAAAAACACGATCAAATGTGGTAATGTTGATGCGTCCAAGAAGGCGCAAACGAGTAAAAAAAATATGAAGGTCCGACGACAAAATGGCATCCCACGGGAGAAGCTGCGCACGAGGGAGATGTAATAAGACACATGGGGTTTGTTTTCTTTGTTATTTCTATGGGGGGTGCATCAGCTATTTTTATCTTTCTCCGGCCATATTTTCTTTTCTTCTCCTTCATCCATTATGGGACAAACACGCATAAAAATCTTTAAGAGCTGACTTTTTTTCTTTTATTCAACAGTGACCGGGGATATCATATAACTCTAAGCGGGTATCTATGTATGATATTTTATTTGTGTACTTAGAGCACGATGTGAGTTCCAGTACATTACATTTAGTTTATCCGATTTGGTCGAGATGTTAGCGTGAACAACTGGAATAACAATGTTAATGCTACACGAAACAAAGACACAAAAAATTTAAAGAATATATTTTAGTAGCGATAGAAACTTAAGCTGTCATCAATTAATATCAACTGCATCTGTCGGAATATTCCTTAAATTTAGCATCGGTTTATGCTTAGAAATGATCAATAGTAACAAAAATATCATATAAAAACAGGCAGTTTGAATATTAATTATTTATGAAAACTTTATCAGATACTCATGTTCATAATTTACTAGCCACAAATAAATACCAAGTTCATTATTTTAATGTTATATCAAGTTTTGTAATTAAGAAAGCGAACCAATGAAAAGTAATTTAAGTCTGAATCCACTAGATTGAAGTGATGATAACTGCGGACGAACGTAGACTTTGTGATTTAATCTTCAACTGAAATCTTTACAGAAAAACGGTTTTTTATCAATTGATTCTTGTTATTTTATTATCCACTAGTTACAAATGGACAATTTTATACGCAATGATATAAAAATACGCGCGAAATCACCTCTCAACGAGAACGAGTTTTATAAATATTGTTTTGAAATAGTCACTTTACATACTCAGAGATGTAATAAATATGTCAACCGAGTTTATTAATCATAGACATTCATCCACAGAAAATCAAACAAAGGTTATTAAAAAAAAAAAATTGCTTGACGCAAACAAAAAACTCATCGATAAAAATTCGTTTCTCTTCAGCTACGAATAACAACTAAAAAATATGTTAAATTTAAGATTTCAGGTCTGGCCATTTTTGGTCTAAGAAAGTCCTTGAGAAATTTTAACTTTATTACCATTTCGTGCTATTTATACGTCACGACAACATTGGCGTTTTGGCTCAATTTTGATAAAAGGTTTTGTATGTCCGCCACATACCCAAAGTTCAGTTCGATTATTTTGACGGATGGGAGAACGCAGTGGTTTTGGCGTCATCGGCCAACTAAGGGTCACACGTTAATGAAACACGAAAACCTTCATACGTTGTACCGCAGTCGCTTTACCCTAATCCATTACCGCAAACGCAACACACGACAGCCGAGTCGTACACACGCCAACTTTAAACGTTTTCTTTTTTTTTGCATTTCGTGCAATACAATGGAAAAATTAAAAAAGAAACTATCAAAGACATCGAGAACCATTGGTATATATATATTTTCAATTTTTTCTTTTGAGTCTTCAGCTTTTGCGTTTTACCGGCGACTAATTATAATGGACATTTGTATTGCGATGATTTTTCTCGTAAAGTCCTATCATAGCGATTAAACAAAACAAAAAATGATGTTTGTGGTGTTTTAGTTCTATTGGAGAAGGGTGACATCATAGACATTTAGATAAAAGGCGGAAGAGCAGAAGTTTATTCAAAGCACCCCACCCGCTGGGACGGCTTATTAGTGGCTGGATTTCTTTGTGGTATTTAAACCGTTCTGTTGTGCACACTAGAGTACCGAGGGAGAACAGTTCGACACTAAAATGAATGATGTAATATATATATATATATATACGTAGAGCATTATCGAAGTGCCAAATTTACTTGACAAAAAAAAAACAGAGGGTTGGTTAAATACGAGCAAAAAGATTAAAGTCTCTTTAATAACAAACACTCGGTGGCAGTCAAAAAAGAATCGCAGTTTTATGAGTCGTTCATTAATACTAAAATGAGAAATACTAAAAAATTGATATTTTATGCAAACTAAATATATATTGTAATTGTTTTCTTACCTGTCGATGATAACTGGATCGGACGGCGTTTCATTTCTGTTACCACAACTTTTCTTATCACAGCATCGACTAAAACATAATAAAACACACATTACATTAAACGTGTTGTTTTGTATTTACAGAAAATCATATTGTTTCATAAGACATGACATTCTTTTATACCGTTCGACAAAGCACCTGCGTGAGTCCCCGTGGGATCCCTCATGTGTTATCCTCATAATAGTTCTATGTCAATGTCATTTTTTTTTATGAAAAATGGAAAATAAAATCTTGTCCATGACTCGGCACTAACTGGTCCCCCCCGAATTCGAACAAACATTGGCAAACAGAAGTAAAGGAATGCCGTTTGATCAATGGTTTGCATGGGAGGAGCATAATGTAGCGGCCATAATATTTTCCTCAAACGATTCATCATATCGACTTTAAAAAGTAAACTATATAATAAGTAGCCTTCTCACTTTATTTGTATGCCAATATGAAAACATCAACAACAACTATTATAATGTGTAGTATTGTTCAATATATTACCTGCACATGACTTCGTGAGTAAGCAAAACCCGACACATTTCTGGATTTTTGTCTTGGCCCTCGTAAATTATAGCCTGTAAAATGTTAAACACGAGCAATTTAAAATTCGTTGATAAAATATTTAAACAATAGCGCAAGTTCATTCACAAAACATTCCAAACGTCTTGGTCGTATAATAAAATGTGAGGTAATAATTAAAAATAAAAACTGTTTCGTACATTCATGTACACAAGTTCATTCGAACTTACATTATGTAACATATTAAAGGAGCTTAAAGGTATTAGAGTCGTGTAATAGATTTTTAAACAATGCTTCGAGGGCGGTCGGACTGAACATAAGATAGTTAATCCGGTGGTCTTAGGCTGCCCGAATCAAAGGGGGAGTATAATTTTATATGCTGCTAAGGCTTTTCAATACCCTCTTTCTCGTTCCCATTCCACCGAGGGTACCTATTTTACTTCTACCCAGCCATTGGGATTTAGTCGACCCCTATAAGCGTAAGGCCAATAAATACAGTCAAATTGAATGTGCGTGTAAGTAAAAACTTATGCGACCCATGTGTTGTACCCCACAACAACAAAAAAACAATATAAATATTTTTTTACGATTTTTTTAACGTTATTTCAATGAATATGTTAATATTAGTAACACAGTAATATAACATCTTGTATAATTTGGTATCCCTCTTTACAGTAACTTTAAACAGTAGGAATGTAATTTAGTTAATTAAGTTTATTTACACGTTACAAGTTTTAATGGGATCTAGTAGTCGAGTTTTAGTTTAAGTGCATGTAAATTATTAGTTCCGACAAGAAGTTCTATTTTAAAGTAACAGAAATATTTACTATTTACTCGATAATAAATAAAACGTTGAAATCGAATTCTTACGATTGTTTTTTCACGATCATAAATGTACAAATTACGAAGAATTTTTCATTTAAACATGTAAAACAATGATAATAATATATCAATTTATTTAATGTTTCAATTTAACTGAATTTATTATAACTAATTTATGAGCGTATTGCGCGTTTTGAAAACTAAATATTTAATGATGAACCACAACAACAAAAAAAAAAAGAATTTTAATTAATCCCATTTGAAAATCGTTAACCACAAATCCAATAAACGGCAGAGTAATGTGATGTGCCGCTGTAACACAGTTTTGAAGAGCAAAGCGGCGCACATAAATGTTGGTAATAATAGCAATAATGTCACGTGTTGTTGCATAGTACTTTACGAGTAGGTGTATAATAATAAGTCCGGGTGTGGTTTGGCGGCAATGCAGATACTATTTGTTCGGGCGGTTGGATGAATGTGCGCTGCTGCAAGTTGGCAACACAAATCGAATAGATAAGGACTTGCGTTGGCATTATCTCTGTCATAGTGCCGAGCCACATAGCCGCTAGCTGCTCTCCGTCACGCACAAACGTATAATAATATGTATAATAATGTACCCGGCGTGTTCATAAGTTATAGTATCAAGTTACCAGAGATTGGCTGCGGGAGGGCGCAAGGAACGGATAGAAACGCGGTTTTAACTGCAGTGCACATATATTCAATGCGTATCACTCGGTGTGTGCCGCAGAGGGTTTACCGTGCACACGAATCGCTCATTATCTTCAAAGTCCATCGATTGCTCGATCGCAATTGCACCAAACCTCAACGTGTCTGGTGTACAAGTTAAACGCATTTTTATTAACCCACNCGTGCACACGAATCGCTCATTATCTTCAAAGTCCATCGATTGCTCGATCGCAATTGCACCAAACCTCAACGTGTCTGGTGTACGCATTTTTATTAACCTATACGGACGTTCATATGGCCGTCACTACGCGTTACCCTCTGTGTTATTTTTCATTTGATAGAATGCACTTAATGGTACGACATGGCGGTTAGAAGAGAAGCAACAAATATGAAAATATTATACAAGAGCTGCTAAGGCGTATTGGCTCTAACGATAAAAAAGACGATATCATGTACATCGCATAATCTACTAAGATACAGGATAAAAAATCCATTTAAACTTTTACTTTTACGCGCTGTCTCAGACTTGGAAACCTATACGGGTTAACGTGTATGTTTTATAGTATTTCGGACCTTGAGCAATTTATAAAATCAAGAGTATCGCAACGTGCTACAAAGTTTACTTTTTTCGTTCCCCAAACGTCGTTTATCCGAATACTGCCATAATAGACATGGTATTTCATTTTTTTTTACACTCTCGTGTTCTGATCAATCATTCATGTGCCACGTTTATAAAACGCTCGAGTTTTTTAACGAGTCAGTATGGTGACTACAATTTGTTCGTAAGTAAATCGGAGTGAAATATCAACTACCGAGAGCATATTTAATTAGTTAAATAGCTTTCGGCGGAAGAGATTTCCTAAAAGCGCATTAAACGAATATTTCCAGAAGTTTATTTCGTTCGTGACTACAATTGTTTTTCATACCTAGTGCAGTTCAATAGGAATATTGTGTCATAATCGCTTAGAGGTCATAACGGGCGCACACCCATTGAAAGCCTCTTTACCCTTTGAGCGTAATATAACAACAATAATTTACGTCACCCGACGATTGCAAGAAGATAACGTTGCACTTGTACTGCAGGACCCGGAGGGTAAACAGAAACAAAAAAAGGAGGTGATGGGCACAAGGGTAGATTCCGATCGACGATGGTTTTTATTTATTTATTTTTTTGGAGACGAACAGGACGTTCTATTCGGCCAAAAGCATTACAGTGGCTTTGGAGATGGGCGCGTTGGGGCTGCGTGTTGATAAAGCCGTTTAGTGGGCGTCCGCCGTGAGGGGGGTGGCGGGCAAGGGGGGAGGGTACGTTGAAGATATATCAGATTGCGGCGGACCAGAGGCGTGGCACGTGCCGCAGATACTACACGTCGTATATACATGCACGCGCTCTACACGTGCGGTGTAGTTGTTTTGCGTGTAATCACACGGCCGGGAGAGCACACGAAATCGCATGAGGTTCGACGAAAATCTTTGGTTTCTATTGTAGACTTTCGATCGAATACAAGACTGGGCAGGACGAGGGCGAACGTCAATTGATACGTTGACGATTCAAATTTGCCGTCCGGTGTTTGCTTTCGATCCGTTGCCACGGCACATCTACTGCCCTCGCCTACCCGCAATGAAAAAAATCAAACAATAAAATAATAAACGAAAAAGAACCCCCGAACCGGTGGAATTAAACGCAAATAAAACCATTGTCGACGGTCCAGATTAAAATCCATGTTTATCCGTGCCGTTTACCGAGAACCCGAGTTACGAGATTTTTCAATGGGATCAAAATTCGTAGAATAACAATATTTCGGCTCACCCCGCGCCCGAGGGAATAGTTTTTTGACTTACCTGCTTGGTAACGGTGTCAATAAGTCTAACGTAGATGTCTTGCTCTTGCCGTACACCTAAAATCATAAAACAAACACCTTAGCCGATTAAACAATTGCCAATAACAGGATGGTATAATTACCATTTGCGTACAGCAGTTGTAGTCTGTACTGAATACCATTGTTAGTCTTTTGTGATTCGGATTCCTGTAATTAAAACACCAACACGATACTTCGATTAGTAAACACCAAAACATTGCTATAGTAAAAACATCGTATGCCTCACTCGTACGATTTGTTGCAAATGTAACATTATTAACCATCGGCTTATTTTATGTTTAAAGATCAAAAATCAATTTATCGAGTAAATGCAATTAAATGTAACATATTACACGCTCATAAATGTATTATTTTTCAGACTGCGTTGATTACGTATTGAAATAAATAATGAAATAATAATTGAAATAATGAAGAGGACTAATTTTTAATTACTCATAAGGAAGGGAAACGAAATAGGTGATTAAATAAAATTATTTCATAACTTATTTGTGAAATAAGTACATCGCTTTTTTTGACTAAATATATTTAACAGGTGTACTGCGATGTACCTTTTTTAGACCCGTATCTACTATCGTTTATGTAAAATGATTAGTTCTACAAATTACGAATGAATACAAATAATTAATGATTAATGTCCATAATACAAAATGTATTCCGAACAACATGCGAAAACACATTGACTCGATACTTTTGATTTCTTGTTTCTCTACTTGAAATTATTGAAAACTGAATAATGCAAATGAACAACTTTGTAAACAAGCGATATTGTCAACACATTTTTATTTGCTAAGAACTTGAATAATTCGAATGTTGCGTCATTGTGCAAGAGATGCTTTGCTCTGTTAAAACGCTATCGCGCAATATTCATTAGTGTAATTTACATCCGGATAGGAAAATCCGGAAGGGTTTTTAAACGGCTTTGTAGGACAACGAAACGATCATTGAAGAACACGTAGTCGCGTGTCTTGCACGTGGCTAGCGCCTCTTTTGTTTTTTCCCCATTAGATATCAACAATAGAATAAACTGATATTGCCCGATTTCGCATATTTTAAATGTATGGAATGTCCATAACGTTTCTATTCCGTTTTAAACTAATAACCAATTCGGAAGTATTGATTTACGGCGTTTAACGCGAAAATGATTAAATTTTCAACAATGTTCTGTAAATGTACACCTTATAATGTCTTACACTTTTTTATTTTATTTAAGATTATACTTTTAGAAGAAAGTGAAAACAGGGCTATCAAACATTTATTCCTGTTTTTCTATCCCCTACTTTACAGCTACAACACGTTCTCCGCGCATCTATGTAAAAGGTTCAGTACATTTGTACAGGATGACGTGCAATTTTTCTAAAAAATTTAAAACTCTTACTTGATCCTTTTCGATGAATCCTATGAATGCGGTCCGTTCGATTTCGATCGGCTGTTGAGACCTGTCGTATAGCGCAATCACAAAATGAAAGAAATTGGATTTCCTCAGATTGCTCGGAGGTTGTTTTTCAAAATGTGCTCTGGATACGCCAATGCTAAAGAAAAACACAAATTTGTTAGTTTCGACATCACAACTATTTTCCCCTTATCGCCAATAACATTAATTGTCGATATTTTAACAGAAAAAATCGCTATCCAAAGTAAGTTAAAAAAAAACGCAAATAAATTATAATTAGTTTCATTTAAAAGTAATATTTTTATTGGACATTTTGAATGGTACTATAAATGTTGAATTTTTATATTCTGTTTTTTTTACAAATTGATATTATTATGGTGTAGTTTAATTCTGTAAAAAATTATTTGTTTTTCAACATAAATCAACAATGATCGATGTCGTCGGCCGTCAGCAATTGATGAGCATAGATTATTATCATAGGCGGTGGTTATTATTATTATTGTAATATTTGGAACTGTCGTCACTCGTTTTTCCATAGTTGGCACCGTTGGGAATTAAACACCACCGTCTCTGCATTACCTCTACGCGTAAATGGAAATTGTATTATTTTTATTTTTTTTTTGCCAACGTTTTTTGCGTATAAGCGCTCGTCCTACTCTATTGTCATTGCATTTGCGGTAAATTAATGTTTACTCAACGTCAAAATTTCAGTGTAATCTAATAATATTAATAGTATCAACGATACATTATTGTTGTTGTTATTAAAGGTGCCTGCGATTATTACCCCAACAATCCACCGTTATTTATGTAGACAATTATTTTTCGTTTGTTTATGAACTATTATTGTTATTATTTTTTACTCATAAAATATTAAGAGCCAACGCCGCTCAAAACCATCAACGCTACTGTCCGACATAATCGAATCGATTACATTGTAACGTGCGTGTAGTTAACATCATTATAATTATTGTCAATGACGTTTCACATAATTCATGTTGGGTAATTGTAAATAAAAAAAATGAATATGTTTTATGGAATTTACGAACATAAAACTCATTTCCACGTAATTAAAAACAAAAAAAAAATTACATTTATAGAGTGTATGGTATGTCATTGTAATTACAACCTTAGCTAGGAAAATTGCCAAATTCCTGTCACATGTAACAATGTGTTCTAAACATTAAAGAATAAGAACTGTGGTCAAAGTATTCAGAAAAATAAAACTTGATTATATCTTTTCTCTAACTACTTCAATTCTATTATGTGAGTATGGTTCTGTTATAAAAAATTCATGTTTTCCGCGTTTCTTCAAATTGTGTTTATTATTTAAACTTTTAACAAGTTAAGTACACTTACATATAACAGCGTTTATTTTTCATTAATTCATATTAAAAGTATTTGACTGAAAGAAAATAACAAAGTTCTCAACGAAAATTCTTATTTGGTGAACTTAAAAGCAATTGACCTAATTGAACTGAAAGGATTATTTTTTTTTTCTATATTTTTAGCGGTTCGGTAAGAGTCATTCCATCGGTTGATAAGTACAAAGCGCTTATCGGAAGCTCAAGTATAGCCCTGTTTGATGTTGATTAAGTTTTCAATAGTTATTTTATTAATGTAGAAAGTTTGTTGTCCGAAATAATTAAACTACTATTCGCCGCTTCATAGCTGATGTAGTGTCATAAAAAATTAAAAGCTTTATGGTCCGAGAAGTTGTACGTTGTTGCACTGAAATGGCGTGTTTTTTATTTTGTATCTTCCAAAGAGGAAAAAATCAAGAAGATGATTTCGATAAATCTCAAAATTGTTTGCAGCGTTTTTCGACGGCGATAAAGACAAAAAACTAAGCGTAATGTTATTGTTTTAATCCTCAAGAGAGTAATGACGAAAGTTCACGCGTGGAACTTCTTTAAAAAATATGAAACGAACGCTCTTTTTTATTTTTAATAAGTAAACAAATGATTTTCCTAAAAATAAAATTATACACAAAACACAATAAATCATATGAAATTATATATGGAAAATGATTGAAATAGCATTTCAAAGTTTTCAAATGACATGTATAAAATATGATAATGAAAATAACGCCTTGAAATGCTTTAGTAAAGAAATTTCATTTGCAAATGAAAGTTTTTTTAAATAGAAGTTATGTAATATTTGTATTTTATAAAAAATTGTATTTTTAATAATTAATATAATTTTACCACTGTCGCGCCAATAAAAAATACTCATTCGTTATTATTTAAATAAATCTGTTAAATTGAATTTTAGAATAATAATTGAATGCTGTTGTTAATTTTCATTATAGCGGGAAAAACTTTTTTTTACATTCAGTCCATTAGGTTACATAGTTTAGTATTATAATTATTAAAAAAAATTCTTTTATTCTATAAAATTTAGAGATAAAATAATAATTCCACTATTTTTATGAAGAAAAAAATATTTAAATACAAAATGAAATGTTATTTTCAATGTTTGAACGTTTCAAAATTGATGTATTTTGTTATTCGAGATGTGATTTTTAATTTACGTGTAAACGATTAAGATACAAACGAATCGTTTTTATAGTTTTTTTATATAACATTACACTAATCAATGGTTTATTTTTCAGTGATAATGTGTTTCGCGTGTAAAATTATTTTAATAATAACAACTTAGAGGAGCTGCTAAGTTGCATATACAAAACGCCGTACTACAAGGAAAACACACCTAACCCACAGGTAAAGGTGTTTCGACAAAAAAGAAAAAGATTTTTTTTTATCAAAGTAGAAGCTTACTGTTAAAACTGTATTAAGTCGGTTTGTGCAGTGTATGAGCGAGAACCCCCAGAGAATACACCCAAACCCTGCGAGATGTACTACTCACTTGTTTACATAATCAATAGCGCTCGGGGTAACCACTTTCTCGTTATGACAGATTCGATTCAATTTTTTTCTTTATGCTAAAAAAGGAACGATTGGCGAACAGTAATGGTGTGTTGTATTTATCTGGATTAGACTTAAAGTTTGTTCTGCATGATGTTGTTAGACTTCTTTAAAAATCCCTTTGTCAAATTTTTTAACATCAAATGATAGCCACAATTTTCTTAAAAGTTGCTTAATTAAAAAAAGTTAAAACTTTAGGGTTGTAATAATGAGGCGAAGTAGTATTTTATCTACATAAACGCGTCACTGTTAACTCATAAGTTCTGGGTACTCGATATAATTAAAGATCTGTTGTTTGAATCAATTTTACTAATCTTAATTGTGCTTTCGAAACTTTTTCAATATTTCCTAGCGTTAAAAAAGTCATTACTGTTTATTTCGGTCATTTATTAGATAGTCCATTTTTATTCCCCATTAATAGTTACTAAAAAATATTTCTCTTTCGTTATTTATTCAAACTTCGTTCTTCTAATAGCATCATATTATCGTCTTTTCCGTCGCGCCAAAACAAACCGGCATACACTTTATTCAATTACTTGGTAAGAGCGTCGTTTTATACTAATTATTAATACATAAACCGAAATGTAAGTAAACATTAATAGATTTTTTTTTTATTTGTAAATGTTGCGCATAAAACAAAAAAAAAATAGTATTCAAATACTCAATGAAAAATAAATGTTTTAAAAGGTTGAAAGTATATTAGCGAGTTTGATGTATTACTACACTTATTAATAAATATAAATAAAAAATAATACTGCCAACAGTTATTTAAAAAAATATCTCTTTTAATAAAAAAAAATGCTCGTAACATTTTTATATATTCATGTTGTATTCAAGTTCAATAACTAATCACAATTAAGCCAACATAATTTAAAAACTAATAAAATATAATAATTATATTTATATTTACTATAATTATTATAGTAAAATTAAAATTAATTAAGTTGTTTAAATTAATATTTTTCAATAGTGTGAACACTAAAGTGTTATAATGGACTATGGCTTTATAGACCATTCCTAAAAAATAGGTTTAAGTTCCCATATTTTTAAACATTTGAATTTATGATTTTTCATCAATTTTTATCAACATTTTCTATCTATAGTCTTTTGTGTTCGATATAAAAAAATATGATGAGGTTTCATAATGTAGTAGATGAAAAAATTAAAATTCTTATAACAATTACTTTTTTCGGGAGCTAAACTAATTTATAAATTATAAGTTAAATTCATTATTTAATTTCTAATAAAACTAGTTTCTAATTAAGATGTGCGATAAACAGTTAATATTTATGTATAAAAATGTTTAAAAATATAATTATTTAATAAAAAACGTGGGCCGGGCTTTTACCGACACTGACCAACAGTTGTTTAAATACATTTTTCAGGTCGGGTTAATCGATGAGCCACTTAACTGAAATTATGTTTTCAATCGCAAAATTAATAATTCATTTTCTAATTACCTGCTTTGGTCTATAATGGACGGTTGCATCCAAGATCTCGGAACGGATAGCTGAGAATTGGAAAGCGGTTCTTCTTTGAGTCCGGTAACGGGCCCGCGGACTTGATGATGATGGTGGTGATGATGGTGATGGTGTAAACCAGACAAACCTGGCGATCCAGAGTCCTGATGGTGGTGGTGCAAGCCGAACATCAGACCGGCCGCAGCGGCATTCCGGTGATGGTTACCCGGCGCCGGGTACAGCTTACGGCCCCACGCGGCCACGGGATCTAGATCACCACCACCTCCACTTCCGCCGCCACCGGCACCGTTACCGCCACCCAATGTACCCAACGTGGACTGCCATGGTGCCGCGACCACGGCGTCTGCATCGCCGCCGGTCGCGCCGCCCGCCCAGTAGCCGACGCCGGCCACCGTCCGTCCGTCTTCTTCCGTGGACACCACCGTGATGCCTTCCGGGCCCACCGTCCTATACGACGTGTCTGACAACTTGTGTACCGCCCGTCAATTTTTAACCGATTATAAATTTGTAAATAATTAGCTTAAAAAAAAAAAAAAATTAATTTGCGTCGCTATTTTTTTATTGCAATGAACATTTATCACGAAGGTATTTAAATTTCGAAGTTTAACGAAAGTGTCGTATTGTCACGCGAAAATAGCGACGAAAAGCACAGAGAGTATAGAAGACCCGTCAACTAGACCGCCAACTGACTAGTTGTCCCGATGGGAGAGCGCGACTGAACTCACTGAGGAAATCCTCGCGATCCGGAATCCCGTCGGTCTCTGGGGGTGGCACTGTCGCCGCGCGTGCGTCAGTTTTCTGTTCGCCATGTATATATGTGTATGCCCATGAACGTGCGGGGGTTACATTTGTTCGTGTGCGAGTTTCGTCCCTGCGGCCACGCCTAGACTGCGGGGTTTGCGACGCCGCCTACTGGCCAATGGTATTACACAACTGCCGGTTACCCGGTATCGCCACCGGCCGCGTCCCGGTTGTTTTGGCACATCGGCCGCCGCTGTCGGACCACGCGGACGCCGGCTATACCAGAACGGATCTGCGGCCGCCCAACTCGAATTTAGCCCGCGCAAAACGCAGCGATCTTCATACGGCTTTTGAATGCTATTATGAGGAAAACGACAACCTCAGGAAAATCGGTCGAGAGGCAAATAGTAATTTCCACCGTTAGTCAATAATTTATTAGCGCACAGTGTGCGACTTAGTTTCGCAGAAAACACAATCTTGTTCAGGGCCGCTTAAATTATTTATTTCTTTTGGCCGACACAGTATTACCTCTTAAGCGTTAATAATGCATTATTTCATTGAGCTGCAGCGGCAATAGAGTGTGTAAAACAAGGCCGCTCTGAACGTTTAACGGTTAAAATACAATTTTTCTCATTTTCATTTTATTTATTACTCAATATAACACTATGTTCGTATACGGCAACTGTGTGCCTATGTATATTATTTCTGTCAAACGGTTCACAAGTGTAAAAAACATAACACATTTCTCAGTGGATTAAAATCATTTATAATTCATATAGTTTATGAATTTTGTTCAGTTTTACTTGTGTGTAATTTAGAAGTGACGAATATTTTTCTTTTCAAGTACGAATATACATTTTTTCACTGAAAAATTAGGAGATATATTAAAGTTTATGCAAAACAAATTTAGTTATTAATAACCATTTTTGTCTTAAAACAACATAGCGGTTCGATTGTTTTGGTGAAATTGTCTTTTTTTTTTTTGTTGCAATTTATCGTTTTTTGCCACCAATTAATTACGTTTTCGGTGTAATTTCTATATTTAGAATTAATTAAAAAGTAATTGTAAGTCAGTAATTTTATTCATAGTTTAAGTTAACAAATAATTGAATTTTTATTCTGAGCTGAATACAGACGATATATTTATACATGTAGATTGTTTGAACTTGATAGGAAGATTTTAATAAATCAAATTTTAATAAATGTATTAATACGGTTTTGAATTGAAATAATACCTTTGTCGTATTCAATTAGATATTCTTCACCCATTTTTTCAGTTTTATAATAAAAATTGAAAAATATGTACTGCTTCTCTTTTATAAAAACACCCCTCGCTGTACACTTTTGATTTAAGTTTTGATGGACAAATTAAAAACATATTTGTACAGAGTGATCGGGTTATCATTAAACACTCGATTACTCGCAAAATAAATATAATATTGGAAAAAAAAATTGGTTTCTCTTAGTTTCATATAGTTTTTGATTCATCAGTTATGAATTTTTACAATAATTCTAAATAACCCAAAGGGGCGTCAACTTATTTTGTTTAAATGGCAACGTACATATTTAATAAACTTATACAATAGAAAATTACCTAATTAAGAAAATTACTGGTCTATAACAACTTTTGGACCAGTACTTCAGAAGTTATTCTCATTTTTATACTGGTCTAAAAGTCATTTTTTCCAGTCAATGTCTTGATTAGATAACTTTCTATTTTATAAGTTAATTAAATATGCATGTTACCATTTAAAAAAAACTGACACCCCTTTAAGTTATACGGGATGGTCCTTACATGTAATTAATAGCTAATAAAGCGAGAAATATATGTAGCTAAAGAAATCAAAAAATGTTTCTTTCCAATGTATTTATTTCACCAGTATCTAGTGGTTTATAATAAATCGATCACTCTGCATAGTTTTACTTTTTATGGGGTTATATTTAATCATCGAATATCAAATATGGAAATCGTGTTAAAACAATCAATTGGAATGGATTTTGCATCAATTTATTATGGTGATCGGCATGTTTACAGATCGTAAAATCGATCGATTTTTTAAAACAGACAAATTATACGAATAGATTAAAGATTGGTCTAATCGAGTATTAATGGTTCGGTCAAGGGAATAGTTTCAAAAGGGTTAATATTATATGTCTTGGATGACTTGCGTTGACATAAAGTCAGTCAGTAGTCGGCAGATAAGCATTTACTTTATGCAAATACGATCAAGGCCTATCTAAATGACCGGTGGCTATTTAAATTCCTTCGAGGACGGCTACTACCGCCACGATCGTTTATTAATTAATTTCCTAAAAGCCTGGTCGTCTTGTTAGAAAATCATTTTAAATCTGAGCAGACAGTGTAAATTACATGTGACCAAGTTGGTGCAATTGAAATAAATATCAATTGTCAATTCAATAAAATTGAATGAAGTGAAACCTTATCACAATAGTAAGGTACTACATTGTAATCGACTTAATTAACTTTTTTCGCAGCGACCAAAATATGTCTTCAAATTGTTCATCGTTGGAAATAGATAACAAGAAATTGCAGCATTAAGCCTTACAAATATTTTCACGTTGGATTTACGGGAAGGTTTTTTTTTTTTAAATACAATTGTATTTATCTCATTTAATTTTGAATTATCACCTTTGCTCGAGGATTTCTACTGAAGAATTCGCTTTCAACTCCGCTGGGCAATATTGTTGTTGTGCTGAGCCCTTATAAAATATATCATAAACAACGCTGCGCGACACAACAAAGTGTCCACATGCTGGTTAGCGTTTGGAAGATAAAAAAGTATATATGTACGTATATAGTATTGGTTGTTGGTCGATTGTTGCCCCTCTTGGGATCAAGTCGCTTTTCTCCGAAAAAGTAATTGGAACTCCAATTGGTGGTTGTGTACACTCTACCCCATAGCATTCTATTATAAACGCTAGCACAGGACACCGACCCGTTAATTCATACCTTCTAGAGATTGAAAATGATGTGCTTAAAGAAAGGTATTTCATCAAAGTCAATATTTAAATATAATTCGGTTTTTTCAACTAATGTTAGGTTTGTCACGCTCAAACGTAACAACGTTGTATTTTCTAATTTATTTTAGAGACCTTGTTCATTCATTTCCCAATAAATGTACAACAGATGTGCTGTGAAATATTATCTGTTACAACATGTTAGGAGTTGAAATCATGAAAAAGGTGAACAATTTTAGGTCTGAATAACTATGCATAATGTACAGTTGAAATAAATCAACATTATAGGTAATAGCTAACCGTAATCAGCCTGTTTTGCAACGTTGTCTCTGGCAATGTAGGAAACCCTCACGTCGAAAGTGAAAAACATTGCACTGTGAGCGCATAGAAATGATATGTATCCGTAGGCTGTTTTCCAGTTAAATATTAATGTGATTTTGGTGTACCAGAACAACACCTCGACATAATTAAGACGTGTCGACTTGACCTTTACAATAACCATAGCTATGAATTATCTAAGTTTGTCGACTTTCCGAATCGCCCGTTTCCATTCCTCCTATATTCCGAATCTCCGCCTTTGATTTACGCGACACTACGACCTTTGATTAAAGTTTTCCAGTCGCGTTGTCCTTTATACTAATGTTTTAAACTAGGCGTCGACCAGTTCCCGCTAACTAAGTGGAAGCTTTTGCGATGCAAGTTTATGACGGTTTTTTGACAAAACATCGACTAACCAGTTTTAATATTTAACGAAGTAACTAACTAACCGTTAGAGTGACTAATGTCACTAACAGCTTTAATATGTGCAGCCTACTAGTCGAATCGTTTGTTATGTTAAATGATTAATGAGGCAAAATATCATCTGCCAGTCGATATGACGAGAATTAATAATCAAAACATAATTTAACACAAAGGCCCTTCATTGTTTGATATGTTTTTTATAAGAAATTATTCCAGGCATTTTTGTGCATTGACAAAAGTAATTATGGTTACAAATACTATATGAAAATATAGCGGAAATTCAACTATTGGACAATTCTAATGACCTAAGACTTTTAAAACGCGTCAAGGCATATGATTTGGTTTAAATTTGTAAATACTTATTTTACAATTTAAATATTATTATTTGACTAAGTTAGGGACCAATTCGCTGGAAATGTAAATACCATTCATGTTGTATTAATATACGTATATTAATTAGTATAATCGTATATTTATAATATTGATACACATTTAATTGTATTGATTAAGATTTATGATCGTCTCAATAAAAAGTACCTTAGGATAAATATTACAACATAATATTTTTATATATTTTTACTATACATCTTTATACATTGTATTCGTTTAACATTCCAGTACATGTATATGAAATTACAGTTATTCTTTAAGAGTGTATACAAAACTTGGGTGAAATATTCGAAAGTGATTGAGACTATTAGGATAGAAGTTATATAACACCAATGAATTCATGATTCATGATAATGCATTCAATAATCTAAAAATGACTGCAAAATTGTATAATGATATGACAACGTCTAGCCCAAAATTGACCAGAACTCTGATAAATTAATTATTAGTTAATCATTTATAAATGTTCATAAATATGAATGCTACTAAGTTTTATATTAGGTAGACTACCATACACAAGATATGGTATTTGTTCAGTCTAATTTAATGAAACATCTGAAAACTATTATTTATTCAAACAATTTATCAAAAAAAAAAAATCATATATAGAGAATAGTGTTGTATCTTGTATTTATTATTCTACATTTAAAAACCTAAATTTTCAGATAAAGAGTGTATGATAAGTATGAACTCTATATTTTCATATTGAAGTGTTTAATACGTAAGAAAGGCACTTAGAAAGCAAAAAAAAAAATACAACGAGCAACTATGATGACAAAATAAAGAAGATGGCAAAAAAGAAACACTAATACTGCGGTACATGATTGCATTTCAAGAGTTGCAAATTAATTCAAAATAACCTTCTTCAAACCGACATAGCG